AGGGGCCCAGTTTTCTCATGAAAGGAGAATGGGTCCGGGGGACCAACACGCCAACTCTGCAGTCACATGGGGACGATGCTCATCATTAATGGCTACAAATGATTTGATTGAGAGTTGTTGGCAATGTATCTTCCCCTTTTTTTGCAAACTTCTCTACTGCAAGTCGTCTTTGAGGAGCAATGAGATAGGGGAAGTCGGGCTTGCATTGTGGGCCCAAGCTTTTCAATTGTTATCAAAACATGAGCGGAAGGAATTTGAACGCCGAAACCAACGTCTTCACTGACCGACGTAGCCAAAAAATACATGCCAGCTGAGCACAAAGGATCGTCAAGGGCACCGCCAGCGACCAAGAGTAGATAGTTACGGGTGCCAACACTGCCAACAGCCTGGCAAATTTGGTGCATGAGCTGGGGAATGATAATGGCTCATTCTTGGTGGTAGAGAAAATTTCCAGGATTCACAATACATATCTTCTTATACTTATCCACATCAATGGACAGTTCACTATGTTGCACGTTCAATGCTAGTGGACATGTCCAATTCATTTGAACGCACGTTGACATTCATGAAACCTGTGAGTCAGTGCGACTGTGGAGATTGAATCCCACTGTAAATCAAGGGAGGCTACTAAGCAGCATGAGAACCTGAATTGCTACCGTAAGGACCGAACAACATATCAAGCGAACCATGAACGTAGTAGTAGTTGAAATACATGGGTCTAGATTCTACATCTCGGTTTGTTCGCTGTGACACCTGTGAAAAAACATGTTTTCAGAAACGACATGCCACGGCCAAGGGGCGCAAAACCACTGGCCACGCGAACCTTGAGAGCGCTGGAGACCGGCACCAAGCGGTTTAAAGGAAGCCGAATGGTTGGATTCTACGGTTCCACTGCGATTCCGCCGTTTCGGTCGTTTAGGTTTGGAGAATGAGTGAGTGATTGGTTGAAAAAGCGTTGAACACGCTCAGCGTCAAGAATATACACCAGAAAGCTAAATCATGCTAAAACATGCTAAATCCATGCATGCGGCTACCTCTCTGCATGTCCATGTCACTGGGTTGCCAGCTGCTTCCCACAGCGGACAAGGCAGCTGAACTCCGTGCAGTTTGGCACCTGCTCCGCCGCAGGAGGCACGTGCAATCCAGTTTGCACAGTTTGGTGGAGATAGCTACCTGGATCTACTCGAAGAAAGCCGAAAGGGTTGATCAACTCAAGACTCAAGTGTCTATCCTGCCAAGGAATTGGCGATTGGTGCAATGCAATTGGAAAATCATTAACATATCGCATAGCAATATATATATATAATATACATATGCATACATCTTCATCAACATCATCAAAGGGCACATTGAATCGTGATTCATGATCAAAAAAATGCTCTTCTCATGTCGTCTTGACGTTTTCAACCCACCCCCGCCGCGCCCGACTGGCCATCTGTGAGCACCGGCCTTCCTCTGAGTAGACCGCAAAGGCGTAGCGCCTGAGTGCCACAGCTGCAGCCGCCGCCACGGCGAAGCCTCCGACCAAGGCATGTCTCTGTGTCCAACAGAACGTCTATTAATCTGTGTGTTTAAGTTGGCATTGAAATGTGTAGCTGTTAATTGAATCTAAAGTTTTTGTTGCTATTGGTTTGGAATGCGCTTTTGCATCGGAATACAGTAATTAGGTCATTATATGAGCACATTTATATATTTATATATAATATATATTTATATTTATATTTTTGCCCTGGAGTGGCACCCTGTTGTAGGACTTGACTAGACGATTGGAGAAGTGCTAGAACCCCTTGATGAGGCAAGGGACCTTTAACGGATCCAGTATTCTTTCATGTTGTGGTGGGACTTGGAACAGGAATGGTTCGTGGAGGACAAACACATATGTACAAAAACTGCTGCACATGATTGCATCTCTGGGTGACACACTACCCTCACTGTGGCGTGTGGTGTGGCACCACAGAGCACTCCGAAACAAAAATGCATCATGGGTCTCGTCAGCCAAAGAGTAAATCTGTGCACACGTGAGATCTCTGATAGCTATGCGTTATTAGGATTCAATACTGCCATGCTACGCACAGCTGATAACCTTACTTTTCAATAATACTTGTCATTACTTTCCATCTTTTGTAGGGCAGCCGTGATTGAAACAGGCCGAATACCTTGTAGCTTTTCAGCTCAAACACCGATCCAAACGCAATCAAACACCGATCTACACAGCCAATGATAAAGGATGATAAAAGCGAGAGCAGCTATACCTGCTGTACTTACTACATGCAAAATCTTTAGACCTGATGCTCCCCTGCAAACATGATAACGAGAACTTCAGGAACTGCACCAAGCCAGGCCTGCTGCAAGCCAGGTCTGTGCTATTTCTCGACGACCCAATGCCTGTTCGGAACTGTGGTTCGCTGCTCAATCACATGTCACATGAGCCACGGAGTAATCCACATGTCCAAATGTTGACCTCTTTGCGTTTGAAAGTTGGACCACTGTCCTTTGCGTGGCTCAACTGTCCGCTGTCGAGTGAACATCCCCCTTCGACCTTCCCAGGACCGAAGAACTTATGGACAATGTCAAACGATGTCAAACAATCATCTCTGAAGTGTCTGACTACATGGAAAAAAACACCATCACACTATCAAACCATAAACTTGATCAATGATCATTCTGTGATGTAAAAGGTAACCCATGATAATCTGTTCTTCTTCGGCGCCTGCGAACCAGGCCGGGCACAAACCAGGCGTTCTGGCCATCCCGGCCTGACAAGAACTCGACTCATCAAATATCGGCATTGATGCCAAAATACTCGGATAGCCTCAATACCAATCGGCTCATGTTTGCTCAGAAAGCATGTAGCAATGTAGAGGCTAGATCAATCTATGACTTCTTTAAATTGCCTCACCCTGATTGCGGGCTGCGCCTGCTTGCCACAAAGTCGTCCTTGAGGGCCAACAGAAGCATGGTGCTGCCAGAAGCCTCAAAGGCATGCCATGAGATGCAAAACAATGAACGGGCGACAAATCACGAGGTTCGAACAATGAATGTTCATGGAGACAAGCCAACAAATACAACTTGTGCAATTGTTGTACAAGTACAAGGTTGTACAGTTGTACATGTTAAAATTGTACAAATTTGCTCAAATTCGTACAATGTATGGTACTTGACATATTCTTGACATGATCTATCGCTGAGTGAAAAATGATCCTCCGCATATCTCCGCAGTCAGTCGCTCGGGTCGTTTGGTCCTTCGCTTTCAGCCTCACTTGACATGTGTTCGGTTGACTAAAGTCTTATTCCCGAAAACGGCGCGAATGCACAATTCCTTGCGTGCCGCTTCATGATTACCATATAACTAACACTAATGGTGAAACCTTGTTTTATGGTATGGTTTTGTTCGTTTCACAGCAAAATACACTAGCGCATAATTTTGTACCTAAGCTGACTAGAGCTGCTGTCGGCAGTGCTAGAGGAGCTGCTCTCTGTACTGCTGCTTTGCTGCATTTGCTTGAGCTGTTTGCTCTGCCGACTCGTGTGGGCTTTGTCGTTTGTCAAGTGCAGCTCATACTTTGCCTAGGAGCGCTGCGCGCATTTTGTTCTCACAGTATTGGGTCTGTCATTTGTGCCGTGCACTACCCGGCACACATTTCAGCAATTTCTGCTAGCGCGGAGCTAGCGCGAGCCTAGCGCGAAAAGTCTCGAACATTTACCTGGTTTAGCCCTGGCAAAGACAAGGTGTGAAAATGAGCAAAGCAAGCTCACTAGGAATAGTGCAACATGCCAACCATTTGAAGTTGTGTCCTTGCTCCTGCTAGCCCTATGAAACTGCACATCACAGATTAAACATGTGGTCCGAGCAAATGGCTTCTAGCAATCAAAAGCAGATTCAAAAAAACGCTAGCGCCCCACAAGCGCCACGCTAGCGCCTAGCTTGTGTTTTAGGGTATTCTCTTGCGTGCCGCTTCATAATTGCCTTTTAAAATCTACCATCACAAAATGTAGTGTTGCCATTTTGTATAAACTCCTTAGCACCGACTTTTGGCATCCAAACATGTGGATGTGTGATGATGTATGTCATGATGTGGATCGAATATGATCGAATCCTCTTCACATGCTCTAAACCCAGGTGAGCATCAAACATCATCCGGGAATCATCCGGCTTTGCTCCGGTATCCAGCAACCTTTGGTGACAAACGCGGTCCCGTGCAGCGTCCGTGACCAGGTCCCGTGCAGCGCTAATGGCAAAGACCGCTCCAAGACCCACCAGCAACGAGCGGATGTCCCGATAGGCATCGGCCGTCCTGGAGATCGCTCATCCGGGAGAAAGCGCACCAGTGGTGTGGGGATGAGAGATGATGAGAGCTTAGATGTTACGGTCAGCTGCTTAGCGGGAGAATTGGACTGGAAGGAAAGCGGTCCATCGTCCCCAGTAAAAACAAAGACTCCATCAAAACAAAGATGCTCAAACAGAAATCCTTGAAGCCTTCGATCATCGACCAGCGAGGTTTACGGATCGACCAAAATATGCTAAAAGTATGCTAAAGTTAAGTTGACAAGTTGATCAGCCAAGCTGAAACGACAAATCACCCGAAACGACCGACCTTCCGCTCTTCGTTCGGTTCATCTTCGTTTCGCCTTCGCTTCGTCGGTACGACTTACACCGCACGTCCGCTCCCCGACTCCCCGACCCTAAGAAGCTGATGAGAAGCAACTGCATCGCGAAGACCGGATACAGGTAGAACCTCATCGACCCCATTTTGGGATGGAGGAACCAACATCGCTTTTCGGGTTCACCGTTCGGGACATGGACATCAGCGTTCATCCCCGACTCCATGACTCTCCAGAGACTCCAGACTACGGATCTCCGTGGACTCAATTGAATCTTTTTGATCAATGACTAGGAGCCACAAAAATGGCCTGCACAGGCGCTCACAAGAAATACAAGAAATGTAGGAGACCCGTCTTCTAGAGTGGTTCATCTGGAACTGTTTTGCATTCATAAGACCTCCGTGGCCCAAATAAAATACATGAAGCCCGAGGACAGGGGCCAAATAACAAAATGCAAAGACACCATTGGCAAAAGCATGCCAATAAATTAGTGTTGCTGTTTCGTTTTGCTGCTCTTCAAGAACTGACACTTGATCCAGCAAATTGAGCGCTGACCCGTTCGAGATATGGCTGGATGGGCCAGTAAAGAAGTAGAAGTTGAAGGAGTGATGAAGCTGCTGCAAAGCATTGCTCATACACCTGAGAGCCAGGAACTGGCAATCCTAACAAAAATAGACAAACATCACTTCTCAAGCCTTGTCAGCTCGATCACACATTGTTGCGTTCGTGTGTGAACACAGTCTTTCCAAATGCGCACACAAGGGATCTGGGAAGGAATCTTGTCAGGCACTGGTGAGGATTGCTATACGTCCCCAGTACTCTTCAGCCACTTGAGCGTTCAATGACGTTCAATGTAAGCCAAGAGAGAAGATGCAATATTCCAATGATCCAGCGGAAAAAACAAAATAGGAAAAGCCGTTGCAAAGCTGGTCACGTTCCGCTTCACCTTGGACCCTTCGCTCCGGCCTCACCAATCCCTCGATGGACACCGTGAGGCTGGCTAAACTGAGCCAGGTAAAGGGCAGTGCAGTGTGGGCAGTGGTGATGGGCACGCAAAAGAAAAATCAATGATATGTGATGTGCTTGTTTGAAAGAGTCATTGCCTGTATTTAAACACACCGTAAAACCATGTAGCAACCATGTTCTTGTTTTAGTACGCAGCCAATTGCACTCTCGCATCCAGAAGCTTGCACCAACATTGGGAAGGACACAAGGCCAACATGGGCGGCTAGTGGTGAGATTGCGAATGCCCCCAAAATGCCATCTGCAGACTCTTTGGGCATATCTTGAAGGTCGATATCATAGCGACTTGGGTTGTCACTTGATGGAATTCACGTTGGACGTTTCCTTCAAACAAGTAGTGGCAATAGACTGATACTTCTACCTGCTTGGTCTTGATATTTTATTATCTCATGTCCTCAGGTAGCACCACGATGTCTTGACGTTCTAAGTCCAAAAGGGTTCTGCATTCAAAGGTCACATCTTGAGGCACACCCATGTATTATGGTGTCCAAAAAAGGAGTGAGCTGTTGTGCCCTGGAGGTGCAGAAAAGGCACAGAGTTCTCCCAAGTTGAGACACACTTACATCAGTTTGGGTTGAAAACAAAAAACAAAACAGGTTAAAGTGTAGGTCGACATCTTGTGGGATGATTCATGGTCTGCATTGTTTGGATTTCATGGGAAGTCATGCGTTCGCTAAGTGTTTTCTGGACAAACAATTCATCAGTTCAACTGAATCCGTTCGCTAAGTCCACGGCTTCACGGCTCCTCGGTCGCCCTTCTTGTTCCTCAAGACACGTTGACCCCGGCAGTTTGGCCGGAAAAAGAGGGTGTCGGCCCGGAACATGGTGCAAGGTGCCACCAGTACTAAGTAAAAAGTTGCGAGTGTCACACACAATCTGGAAAGCCATTGAAATTCAGGGCCTCCAAGTAGGCAGAAACGAAACTTATATCATCACCTACTGTTCAACTGACCTATTTCGGGGTGAATAGAATCCAATGTTTCATAATACCCAAGAACATTGAGGCCCTTTCCTTCGAAAGCTACTATAGTACATGGCAGTTTTTGATCAGTCTCACAGAACTTGTCAGATTGTAGCACCAAATCAAAAGTCTTGGAGTTTGGAACTGCCATGTTTCATCATTCTTCTACATCCTGCGTTTGCCTGTTCTGGAGTGCACTGTCTACTAGTATGAGCCACACTTCTGCCGCAGTTCTGCAAGAAACTTCTTTGCGATGCACCCACAACTTTATTCTCGCTTGTTAGAGATATGAGTGCATCCAGTTCAAAAATGGAGAAATGCATCGAAGGCCCACAAGGCTAAGAAAAACATCCGAACACCAGATCTGCACTGCTCTGCACCAAGTGCCAGGCACGCCACGAATACTAAAGGCTGGAACCTGAATCCATGCAATTCCGCGATTCCTTAATGATACTCCACAGATTTGGCTCCAACCATTTCGTAGAATCCACTCCCCCTCACTCGCCACGGGTGCGCTGTTTGATCTGTGTCGCCTGAAGCTCAAGGAAAGGTGCATGACCTTAGCGATTGAGGTGCACAACACTCGCATCGATTGAGGTGGGGTCGACGTCTCTCTTGAAGATTGTGTTGACGTTGTTTTCTGTTCGAAGAACAGATTTGGGCTGAATCTTGAAGCATCCAACAGCCTTCCATTGCATGTTTGTTGATTCTCTCACAATTTAATGATCATCAATGATCTGTGCCTGCAGGCAAAGCCAATCAATCACATCTCCTAATCATGCCCTGGGCCATAGTAGAGTACTGAACAACATCTTAATCAAATTCAAACTAGGTCTCAGGCTGCTGTGCACCCCTCCATTCCTGGAACTTTAATGTCGTCAAAGAAGCTTGACCACAAGTTCGACAAACATCAATCAGTATGTGGCATGTCCACATCCTCATGACTCATTTGAGCCATTGTGCCATGGCAGTCGGTGTAGACCATTGGACACTCAGTACAGCTCGAACAAGCATCTGCAATGAAAATGTTGGAATGCGTTTCTATGAAATGCTGCTGTAAGTGTAGTTGAATATGTGACCTAACATTAATTAGCATCGATTGAAACACTTCTAATACTTGTAGTCCACTGCCGAGTTTGCAGCTCAGACTGAGGCTCTAATCTGTTTCTTCGTGGGCCGAGTCAATGCATTTCATCCCAGATCGTCTGATCGTCACCGACTCGGATCGCTCCTGGCGTGGTGAAGTACTGAATCCCAGGCGTCGCGATGATGAATCTGCAAGCTCGTCTGACCGGACACCCCGGTGGCCTCACGGGCTTCGGCTGGTAACTCGGAAAACTGCGAGTGCAAAGAGTCAGTTCATGTTCTTGCTTTTTGATGTGCCTCCTCTGAACCAAAGCCATGCAAATGTGTGTGTGTGTGTCCACTCCTGTTTCCAAGGACACTACTCTAGCTATTTCTATTCCTATGACTTTACGATCCTTGTACAGCACCAGCAGGGGGTGCCAGGGACCATGCAAGTCTGGCACTAACAAAGACGCTTGCATTGGTCTGTGAAATCGATTTGGGACGCCAACTCGACGTACCTGCAATTTTCCATTGTTTGAATCACTTCACTTTCCACGACTTGTTCCAACATTCTGTTCGACCGACCCAGCACTTTCTTTTCAGTCAAGGTCTAATTTGCAGTAACATTAAAGTGCTAATGCTCACCGCGAATAGCCTGAAGACAAGCTCCACGGAGCAACCTTCTCAAGTGTGTCTCCGCAGCTTCTTCCCACTGTGGTAAGCTGTGTGATCCCTGCGGGGCGCCGTTACTGCAAGAACCTTTCACTCCTCACCGCAGGAGTAAGTGTTCCTGAAGATTTTCTGAAGTTTACTCGACTGAATTTTCCTGTTTGAAATCAGCTTGATTGGAATGTCTCACCTGACACACGTGAAGTGTTACTGCAGAGTTCACTGAATTTTCCACTGAAATATACTGCAGAGTTCGACTGCATAAGTTTCACACCGGAGAAGTCTTTCCAACTTTTAATTTTTCACTGCGCCGATTTCGGCTTCTCGGCCAGCGCCTCCGGGCCCGTGCCATTCGCTCGTAAGAGCATTTTACCCCACCCTTCACCCCCTGCACCTTTTCTTGTTTTTCTTTGCTCTTGCTTTTTCGTTTGTTCCTTCCTTCAGGCTTTTTAGGTATTTTCCAGGCTCGTTTAGTCAACGCACGCCCTGCCCGCCCCCGCACCCCCTGCACCTTTCTCTTCTTTCCTTGCTTTTTTCGCTTGTCTTGTTCTTTTCTTCAGGCTGGTTAGGTGGCATCCAGGCTCGTTTAGTCAATGCACGCCCGAACACCCCTTCACCCCCCTGGCAGGAAACAGGAGAGAGAAAAAGAAAAAGACCAGAAAAAGAAAGAAAAAGAAAAAGAACACTACGCCGCGACGTTGCGGCCACGGAGAAACAAAGCTGATCCATTTGCTCAGGTGTCGCTTCGATGCAGCTCTTTATGACAAAAGGACATTCAAAGGAACACTGTGCCGCGGCACTGCGGCCAAGGAGAAAAAGACGATCTTCCACTGTTTGACATATATGTATTTTCTGATCCGGTCTAGTTGCGCCGTGCTCGGCTTCTTGTGTGTGTCCACTCCTGTTTCCAAGGACACCACTCTAGCTATTTCTATTCCTATGACTTTACGATCCTTGTACAGCACCAGCAGGGGGTGCCAGGGACCATGCAAGTCTGGCACTAACAAAGACGCTTGCATTGGTCCGTGAAATCGATTTGGGACGCCAAATCGACGTACCTGCAATTGTCCAATTGTTTGAATCACTTCACTTTCCACGACTTGTTCCAACATTCTGTTCGACCGACCCAGCACTTTCTTTTCAGTCAAGGTCTAATTTGCAGTAACATTAAAGTGCTAATGCTCACCGCGAATAGCCTGAAGACAAGCTCCACGGAGCAACCTTCTCAAGTGTGCTCTTCATATCTCTTCATGATATTTCATGACATTGTTTTCTTCAAATCGGTTTTTGAGAGCCATTCTACAGCAAGAAACATGTTGAGCTACACATTTAAACAAAAAGAACAACATCCTCCGCCCCGGAGCACACGAGCGGAAACGGTGTAGCTGTTCACCAAGTCCTGGCAAGCTCGCTCCGTGCTATGAAGACCTTTGATGGACCCTTTTGTTTGTGCTTGTCAATGAGTCGAGGTCTAACTAAACGATACTTGGCCATAAGACCTCTCCCAAGCACTGGGCAAAGCCGCATTGGCATGCTGCAAGCTGTTTGCAAGGTACCAATTTGAACAGGATCGCCTGGAGCGAAAACACCTTCCAAAGATCCGGAAGATCGACTTCCCGCCTGATTGGGGACCATCCCATTAATGCCTTCGACATCGAGCAGCAAAGAGGAGACCTTGCAGGGATGAGAACCATCAACGCTAAGCATATCTAAGCATCAAAGACTGGGAGGGTCCTCAATCAACGCTAAGAGTCCCAGAACATTCGAGATTGCCGTAGGACCGTAGCGTCCATCGAAGCGGACTTTGCCACCAAAATGTCAATGTCGCTCATCACAAACATCTTTCGACATCGTTCTACTGCTTGGATCTGCTTGGTCCATGCTAGTCACCTCCAATCTCGTGTCTTCTCCAACCAATTACAGTAAAATAATTATGAAGTATTGCTAAGCCGGTGGCACCGTTCTTGATCTGCAGGACCACAGCCTGCGAAGTGAAGGGCCGCTCCGTCCCGTCCGTCCGCCGTTCGGCGTCCGCCACATCCCGTGCGGCCTGGCGGAGCACCCCGCGGCGGAGCTCCGAGATGCCGCCCAGGTAGGCACGGAGCCAAGCCTCTCTGGTCGGTTCTCGGACGGGCGAAGTCTCACGAGAGTCTCACCAGGTGGGAACGCTCTCACGAACGCCGAGAGTTGTCTTTTCGGTTTTGGCATCAGTAGCAGGTGGTCCTGGTCAGGCGGGGTTGGGCGCATGAATCTGAGGCGTCAGTCTGAGCGCTCGATGGAGATACTCAGTGATCATGTGAAGTTGCTGCACCCGTGCCGCACGATTGCAAACAAAAGGGGCGAAACCAAGTGATCAAGAAACATCAAGAACAGAGCAGTCAAAAGAGACCAGATTTTGGAGCCCAACGGGTGCAAACATGTTTCGTTAGTGATCCATTGATCAAGTACGATCAAAAAGGTTTTGACCCGCATGTGCTCAGTGGAAATTGGTGCACTTAACCGTGAACCGGAGCCTCCTTTCATCTCCATTTCTGTCACGTTTGCCATGCTTCTGGAAAAATGTTCATGATGAGATCTGATCTTAAAGAGCAAATCAATCACCATGTTCGGGTGTTGATTGATTCCTTCTCCTCATTGGGAATATTTGGGAATGCACATGATCAATCAAAAACAAATCATCATGTTGACAAACACAATATGAGAGGAACATGTGCAACATGTCCACAATGTTTTCGACTGTAATTTGCTAATTGCCGTGGGAAAATTGCTTGGTTTCAAGTAGACTCTAGACCATTATTGTCTAGTCAATCGTCATTCTTATGATTCATGGAAAAGGGTTGAACAATGTTGAACGAATGCCAAGTAAACATATATGTGCATGACTATGATTTCGTATCAAATTCCACTCAACCTCTGTCCTGTTCAAGTTCACTGTCCGGGCCCCCACCCGGGCGGATGCCCCATAGGCGAGGCCAGCATCCAGGAAGACCACGAAAACATCGCGGGAGAGCCAGTGAACCGTCCTGCATGGTCTCTGATGGGTCGTTTGGGGATGGCAAACAACCTAGGAGGGCTTGGTCGGTCGGTCAAAGAAGATGGAGGACGTTCCAAACAAAAACATAACATGTGCTGCAATGGATAAATACATATGATGATCATAATTGTAAATATGCAACTTTTTGGATGGTGGCAGTGGTGTGTCAAAATGTTTGTTCCCATAGGCGTCGCTAAATCGCAATTCCATGCGTGCCGCTTCATGCTTGCAGATAACACAAAACTGGTTTCCAAACATAGGTTTTAACTTTGCTTGTCAATTATTGTGCAACTCTCAGCAAAACAAGCTAGCTCCAACCCCTTTGTGGATTTAGCAGCTGTCCGTGTCACTAGAAGAGCTGCTGCTTGAGCTGCTGTCTTGCTTGCGCAAATTCCAGAGATGCAAAGCCTGACGCCTTTCGTGTCTTTATTTTTCGAACGATGTTTTTTGATATCTACTAGTAGCATCCAGGAGCTATGCATTACTGCAAATTGGCCTTCATCCTGATCATCCCCGGAAAACAAAAAACATACTGATCGTCTTCTGGTGCACCAACACGTCATCCGAAGGCTCGTGGCCGTGCTTTCAGCGCTTGAAAGAAAAGTGTGCCATCCTCAAGTAGCGTGCCAAAGTTACGCCAATGCCAACACCCCATGAGAATTTGGCCTCAGCGCTTCAACAGCGAGTCGAGCCATGCCGACCCGTGAGACTCATCCTGCGTGTGGATAGGAAAATTGATGCTGCCGGAGTTTGCTCTGTGTGTGGTTATCGATGTAACACTTGCTCACAAACCCGAAGTCAGAAGCAACACACAACCCCTCAGCTGTGCCCTTGCCCATCTAACTACTTGAAGTCGATATGTTGTTCCACCATTCCACCATCAGCTATGCCCGACACCGGCGCTTTCGTGGCCGACCAATTGGAAGCAATTGCCTCAGTGAAGTGGAAAAACACTTGCGTGATCTTGCGTACCTCACGCCACTAGAAAACACCTTGATGTGAGCATGTGAATGAGAACAGGCACCCAATAGTATGTTGTTATTGTTGTCATTGTTGCAGCAGCAGCTGCTGTTCAGAACTTCAGTGATTCATCCCAGGAGTTGCCGGTTGGGCCGAGTTTTCATCCACTCATCAAACCTCCAGCACACCATTGGCGTAATCAACAGTTGGGAGCCCCGGGCAAGGACCAGTGCCTCTCTGGAGTCTGCGCGTCGCGCTTCAGCCAACGTGTACCTCGCGGTGGCTGGTCCGTCGGACGGTCGCAGAGTTTGTTTGAATCCGTTAAGACCATGACTCATGACCTGGGAAGTCAGATGGTCTTTGATGGACTACTCCTTCAACTTCTGGCTTTTGGAATTGTCAGATGGTCTTTCATGAGAAACCTTGCTGATCTTGCTTGACGTCGCTCATGAATTTGCATGATCTGAGCATCTGTTGATTAGCAAGCAAGCGAACTCCTATCTAATGCATGCAAAGGACAACACGTGTGGACAGTGAACATGTCCACAAGTTGTCACTGCAATACTAGGTTTACAAGCTTATCATTCGCAATCTTTCTGGATGTTGTAGTAACATGTAGTAACTATGATAACTAATCGCTGAAAGAACCACAGAAATCCATTCCCACCGGACAGAACAGTTATACGTATTTGCCATGCTGATGTAAGAAACAACATCTGAAAATGACTGGACTTAGCCTGTTCTTGAGGATCTGTGCATGCCCAAATCTCAAGCGTCACAATCCCCTGTTGGCTGGCACGTCAAAGAGCGCGACCCCAAAGGTGTCGAGTAATTGATGTGGTAGGCCTCCAAGCCCGCCTTGCGAATCGTTCGCTGCAGCTCTGTTTCACACCCTCGGAAGCAGTTCTGTTGAACATGGTCTTTTCGAGGTGCTACAGTTAGTTTTGAGGCAAGCCAACCCCCCAGGCCAAGCATTGATGTGATTGACCATGATAAAGAATGGGCTAACGAGTCTTGGGATCAACTCACCGATGTGACTGAGTAGCTTCTTGACTTTGAGCTCTGTTTACCGGTGAAGATCTCTTCCATCAAACGAAAAGCAAAAGCGGAAAAGTTCCCAGGGCCTCGGGATTCTATCAAGGCCCTATTTCGAACCCATGACAGGACTACCTGTGCTTATCCCACAGGATTCTGACTCCCACGGGTGGCCTTTCTTAAGGACGTGTCGATGGCGGTTTGAAGATCCTTCTGGGCCTGACCGATTCTGGACGCCAAAAGAAGTGCTCGAAAGTGCCTTGCTGCTCAAAAGAACCCTACCGGGAACCAGGTAGGTCCTTTGGAATAAAGTTGAATGCCAAAGTTTCCGGAAACAGCTTTTCTTGAAGCTTCGGATTGCAAGATCTGAGGGTATCAAGCTCAAAGCAACATCTGGACAAGCTGCCTCGATCTCCTCGATACACTTTCGTAGCCTTCCCTGGGCATATGTTTTTTTTTTTTTAAACCCGTAATTAGTGCATTGGCCAAGCTGACGAAATACACGCAGGGCACAACATGTAATTCACCTTCAACATCTCGCCATTGGCCCAAATGAATCTGCTACTCCTGGAACTGATATCATTTTTTGAAGTCTGGATCTTCCAACCTAAAAGCGATGGCTCCAACCTAAGAGCGATCGCCTCCAACCTAGAAGTGATGGTCTTGCCCCAACAAAAATGGCATTGAAAGCTGCTCTGCTGGCTCTGCACCTGCCACTCACTGCCGAAGCCGCTGTCCGCATAGCCTGCGATCAGGCCGTGCTCCTGAGAGTTCGGCCGCTTTACTGTTTAGACGACCCCAAAAACTCAAAACCGCTCATTCTCACACATCACATAACTATATACAGTGTACACTCTGACTGTGTCTCACGCGCAGACGTAGTATACAGTGCGGGGGGTAGTCTACAGTTGTATACTATTTAAGCAAAACATGGATCAACTGGATTCTAGATTTACGATAACAGTCCATCCGCGGATATCCCTGCCCTCAACCGCTCTCCCTCCCAACCGTCCTCAATCTCTGTCCTGCAGGTGTCTTCATGGGGTCAAAGCTGCGGCTATTCTCAGGGTCAAAGAAACGCCATGAACTTGATGAGGACTCTCTCTTTCATCTCGAGACGAATTGGTTGGAAAAATTTGGAAGGTGTTTGACCCTTCACCTTTCTCTTAAGAACACAAAACACATATATCATATCCATGAACTTCGGTTATACAAATGTACAACTACGTTATAAAGTTATATGATTATATATGATTATATGATACGTTATGATACGTGCAGGCCGTCAAAAGCCCACACGGCCAGGGCCAAAAAGGTGATCCTTGGTGCGCACACTTGAGGGCCGTCATGCTCCATCGATCCCACACTTCGCTTCAGCTGTCGAAAGACTGAACTAGATCTGTCGAACGCGTCTTCCAACATGTTTCATTCGGAAGACGCGTTCGACAGCTGATAGTTATGAAGCAATAACCACAGAATGAAACATGAAACATCATGAAGACTGTCAGCTGTTTCTCGAACGCGTCTTCTTTTCGTCTTGTGACAGTCTAGTTCAGTCGAGTTCAGTCTGAGTAGTTCGTCAGCGACAGTAGTTCGACGAGACCAGCAGAACCGAAGTGGAAACTCCTCCGGTCGAAGCTGGGGAAGATCGCCAAGACGATCAAGGCGGCAATAAAGAGTGCACCAGTGATGAGTTGATGATGTCTCACCACCCTGGCAAGCAGTGGGGAGGGACGGGCAATGCTCGCATTCCTCGGGATCTGTTGCGTCTTGCGCAGCTCATCTTGCTGCGTGATTTAGTGGATTGCATTGCTAGTTCGTAGCTGAACTTATCGCATCATGATGTGATGGCAGGTGTACACTAGCAAGAGGCAAAGTGGAAGGGTATGGGTCAAATGGGTCAAATATTTCAATGGATCCATATGGATCCTTCCTGTCATGGCTTGTGTATGCGCTGAACTTGCACGTCTCGGGGCCATCTCTATCACGTCTGGATCTGTGGCCTCTGAGAGAGATCCAGCGCCAACGACATCACCAGCACGAGGTGAACAAATTGACTGTAACAGCTATCAATGCCTCCGACCAAACACCTTTGATAGCAGTCTCGGTGGGTCTTTAGACGGCTTTGGGACGGACAATCCGCCAATTCTCTTCAGCCTGCGAGGTCCTTACGCCTTGTCACAGCCTGTTGACGGCCAAACTCTCAACTTGATGCGCTGGTATGTTCTAGATGAATTCTAGATTCTACAATATTCTACATGCTTTTCCTCCTTTTCCTGGGAGTGCTGATTTGCTTAGCCAGCTCCTGAACGACAAGGGTCTGCGCAAACCGAAGTGAACTAACCAACATGTATCAACTGAAACGATGTGCAAACAATGTGCAAACACATCAGACACGACGTGAACCCATGAAACACATAACTTAATGGTTGACTTGGGAATTTCCAGCTACTTGCTGAACACTGACACCACCCATTCTTTTACGGGCTGGTCCCTCTTGTGTGCGGGGCACATTTTGTGCACCACTGCACTGCCCCTGGGCATGCTAACAGCCACGGATTGCAGTCAAAGCCACATCCTCCACTCAGGTACTTCTGTTGAGACTGTAAGACTATGTTGTACCTAGCTCCTACATGCTCCTACGCTAACTAGGCCACTCTCCCTCTCAGTCTGGAGAGTGCCATGTCTGGCCCCAATTTTTCTAAATCTAACCTTTCGACTGTTGTAGAATGCCCAAGGGAAAACAAGCAGGTGCGCACACAACATCCTAACAAGCTCATGGTTGCGCTAGCTTCCTGTCTTCTCCACTGTCTTCATGTGTGCATTCTGGACATTGTAACACTGCAGGTTTGCGGGGAGGAGAGCGTTCCAAGCAGCCATGAGCGATGACCATATGCGTGAAACCACATTTAAACTTGAAGCAAGGCCTTCTGGATGGTTCTCCAAACGACCCGCAGTCGCAAGTCAGGTCTCAGCGTCCACTTCCCCAATATGATGATGAGCCTCATCAAAGCCAGCATCGCATGCGAGTTCAAGGAAATGAATGCCTTGTCGTGATGAGTCTTCATCAAAAGCACGTGCCTTGTCGTCTGGTAAGGGATTCTATCCTTTGGTATTTTTGGGGGAACCACCAAGAGGGGGAAGTAAAGAACGTGACAAATGTGGTTTTACCTACCTTTCGTTTGTTTTCTGAGAGTCCATGAGGTCAGTTTGATCTATCATACAGCTCCGCAAAAACAGCAACCCCAAGATCTTGCCTCGCACCCACAATTCAACAACACAAAATAAACACCACAAGACAATGCAAATTCCGGCACTATGGGTTGGCTCTTGGTGTAACATGTTCAAGGTCCTTTTCATGAAACATATATACGTCCAAGAATCTCATGCATATACAATAAGGTAGCATGGCATACAAATAACATACATTACATTACATACATACGATCACATAATATAACATAAAACTAATACAACTTACATTATATGTGTTCATTGTATAGTGCATTTAATTTATTTCATGCACATGCATATGTCTATGTATGTCTATGTGCATACGACTCCTTGACTGGTCTACTCACGCAGCCTGAAAGCTTTCCTTGTCCATCAAGGCCTGCGCGACTCGGCGACGAATGGCGATGAAACGGTGCTTCCAACGGCCGGTGACCAACGGCCACGCCCGGCCGGTACCCAAAGTATATCCTTTGATCGTTTCAAGGATGCGTTGGAATAATTAGTGAATGGTTGAAGGAGCAAAAGAAGGCTTTGCAAGGTATTGCACAAATAATGCTTCAGAAGACAGTGAAAAATGAGATAAAATGGTAGCTATGTTCAACTCATCATGTTCTCCAACCTCATGCCTGCCATTGTCATTTGGATTTGCACCAAAGAAAAGGGGCAGACTAGCCTGGCCTTTAGAGAGTCGGCGTCAACCACGCCAGGGTAGCTGGTCCTCACGCAGCGGAGTCAGAGAAAGAACTAAAGAGGGTGTTTCTCCGTGGATTGAGAGGTAGTTTATATGGATCCCCATCTAAAGGACATCATGGGGTCTGTGCCATCTACTCTGAAGCCACTGTAGTGTCAATTTCCAGGTATAATACAATTTTATACATATGAGGTCATATGAAACATATGACATTGTCAAATCCTATAAGATCCTGTAAGGGTACGTACTACTGACAAAAGAAAACCTGGTCGCTTATTGTTTGAGTTTGGCTCTGCAATGCGACATCGCAGTCTGTCGTCTGTCATACATGATGTAGATTGTTGTTTTGATGAGTCGTACATAGCGATGTCAGGCAAGCCATGTGAGCACACAAGAGGACATTGAAGAAAAAACAGTTTCAACTTTAAACGTTAAACATAACCTTGGGATCCTTGGGTCTCCTGGTGTGTAGTTACTTGCATCAAACAAAATGCACATTTTTTTGAAAATGAATGTCTTTCAATCTAAGCAGGTCCCGCTCTGCCAAATCATGAGTTGGATTGTCCATGAGTGCACTGTTTTTCCAATGGATTCCCAAAAGATAGAGTCTATCATGAAACAAATTATCATGATACTGACAAATTTCGCTGCGTAGAAACTACATATATATATATATCATTATTAACAAATTTCACGAGCTAAGGGGGGCACCCCCGTTCCAGCCATACTTAAAAAATAACACTATGTGGAGGGTAAACCCCGTCAAGTGTGCTGGATGTTAGTGGTGAACGCCACCTTTTTTCATCTTCCGCCGACAGTGCTCAGTTAGTCATTTTTTGCCTTTTTTGCCACCACCGTGCTGCGCACCTCTTCCTCGATGCGCCGCTTCTTCAATGCTTCTGCGAGCAGAGCCTTCTCCCGGTTCTGCTGCACCTTTCTCTTCAGCGCCTCAAGGGAGTCCTTCTTGCCCAAGGTGTTTCCACCCTCCTCGACCGCGTCCTTGTCTGCCAAGGTCTTTCCACCATCCTCCACCGAGTCCTTGTTTGCCAAGCAGGGCCTCTGCCCTGTAGACTGCGTCGGAACCAGTCCAGCCTGATCTTCTCATTTCGAACTTCTCAGACTCAATTCGAGCGACATGGCAGGGCGAGTTGAAGACATTCACTGGACAGTTTGACCAGTTGAAGACACTATGTTCACTGGACCGTTTGACAGTTTGGACTCTGGAAAGACATTCGCTGGACAATTTGATCAGTTGAAGACATTATGTTCACTGGACCGTTTG